AACATGTAATGAAAATAATAATTCCCTTTGTGTGCAGGATGAAACCTCCAGTTCCCAGAGCTAAGTCTGTGAGTGTGTCTTTTCATCTCAGTGCTCGGTCTTATCATTTCCTTTTGCTAAGATCTGTTCTCATTTTAAGTAAGACTGTCAAGATAGTGAATTAGAAATGGAAGTTTTCATTCTTACTCCATATTTCCATTTCCTATGTAAGAAATTAAGCTCAGAAACTTTTATTTCCTCCCTTTCAGAATTCACTCTTGCCTTCCTTGAATGAGTTAAAAGCAGGTAAAGACCACATTGTCTTTATCCATAAAAACTGATCAAATATGAGTACAAACTATATCGAAAATAAATTATTTTGACCATAATTATGTTAAGTATATGTTGTCTCTATAGCTCCTTCGATTGAAGCAAGACGTGCCACATTTCCTAACAAACTCCCTGTACCAACTCCCTTGGTTAAGCCCCCCCCAATCCTGAAGGAATCCAAACCCAGGTAAGAAGTAAATAATACAGAGGGTAGAGAGGTTTGTTGCAAAGTAAAACTGCAAAGATTTACTTTCATTTCCAGCTTGTTTTGCAGTTAACCCCATCTACAAGTTCATGCATATATTAGAATTTAATTCAGTGTTTAACTTTAGCCTCCTGTCTTTATTCCAGCCCTCCAAATCCTCCTATGGTAGCCACTAAGCCTATGGGTAAGCTCACATTTTTCAGAAAGAGAGGTTTTAAATCCTGAGGGATGACTGTGATCATTTGAGGTCTGCTTTGATTTTTCATTTAATATAATCCAAATATTACATGGATCATACTTTACATTTCTTTTTTTAACCACCTGGATGTTGCCAAATACAGATTTCCTAAACCTGTGTGAGACATATAACATGTTTTCTATCGGTTTTAAGCCTCCTCTGGTGGTATGAGGGCAACTAAACAATCTGGGAATGAGGTATGATATCAATCTGCATGAAAAATTTAACACAAGTTAAAGAGGACTTTACTGTTCTTGATATATTTCTGTCGTATTACAGGACAAACAGTGGTTTGCTGGAGATTGCAACAGGAAGACAGCTGAGGATCTCTTACTGAAAGTCAACAAGGTAAACCAAACAGTATAATAATCAGATAATGATGGCTGAGTCATTTCAACCACAATCAGTTTTTATTTTCAACCAAGCAAACACAAGGGCTCGAGGCAAGGGTGCACGGACAACGGGGAAATTTGTTGAGAGTTTATGTGCATGCTTTTGCACTCAAATAAAAACCAAACCTGAGTCAGACACCTTCAGGACTTCCATTTCCACCACTTACTCTACATAATATGTAGCCCCACAGTCTTATATCTTCAATTCACCTTTATTTTTACTTCCCTGCCCTCTTTTGGGCCTCATTCTCCAACCAAATCTTCTCAAACTTCATCCCTTTTTATTTCCTGTTATTTGTGTCAGTATGGCTCAGATCTTCCTGTTTGTTGCTCTCTTTTTTCTGGTTGTAGGACGGTGCCTTTCTCATCCGACACAGCTCAGCCCAAAGCACCCGGCAGCCGTACACCCTCGCCGTGCTCTACCAGCAGAAGGTGTACAACATTCCCATCCGCTTCCTGGAGGAGACACGAGGTTACGCCCTCGGAAAAGAGGGCAAGAAGAATGAAGAGGTGAGGGCGAATAAAATAAGTTTTTTACGAGAGGAGAGCAGGCTGCAGAGAGAGACAGGAAGGAGAAGACAAAGAGATGAGGATTCTGGAAGAATTTCAGGCTTTTCATTTAATTACCTCTCTCCCTTTATCTCTCTCTGTCTCTCTCTCCCTTTATCTCTCTCTGTCTCTCTCTCAGATTTTCAGCACCCTAGACGAGATGATTTCCCACCACAAGAATAACCAGCTGTTTCTGATAGACAGCAAGAGCCAAGCCAAGCACACAGCGTATTTAACCCACCCTGTACGCCCTTAAAACTCCACTACTAAGAGCTTCATATGGGTTATACGAGGATAATTGCACAGTTTGAAAGTTTCCCACTTGGAAAAGATTGTAGGTCTTCTGTCAATCATCTGTCTGTCATCTAATTACAACTCTTTGAAATCAGCTATACAGCTAAAGTACAGATTGAAATAGACAATGCAAACGAATGATGCACTGAAAACTTAGCAGAGATTATGTAAATGTAGGCAACGGTTACTCCAAGAACACTTTAACCCCAAAACTCAAAGATGAGCAGAGATCGTAATTGATTTTCCTGTTTTGTGCCATGTCATCGTTTTAGCAATAATTGCACAAGGTTAACTGTTCTCTAGTCAAAAGGAAAACGTGTCACTGTATTGCTGTAACAGTCTGGATGTTTCTGAAATTATGACTGTGCTTTCAGACCACTGTATTTCACTAACTTTTAAACATGCATACTGTATATTTATGCTGTTCTACATCATCAGAACCTCCGAACATGCAGCTAAAATTTTCACCTTCACTTTTTTCCTCCTGTTCATTTCCGCTGTTATGGTCGTGTGTGATGAACCGTTGAGATAAATGTCTCCATGAATCAGTAATGTTTATTTTAGTACAGATTTGATGTGTATCTTTTCCCTAGTTTAGTTTAGTTTGATGGTTTGTGTCTTTTCAGTGTGATATTGTAGATATTGTGCAATACAAACCCAAAGTCAAAATGCATATGCTTTATATAGTTTTTTTAAAATTTGTTTTAGCACAGTTTTCCTATATTTACTGTGGCTGACCAGTAACTATCAATTAACCTGGACCACGGTCTTTATTCTGGGTTTCTGTGGTTTGGGTGGTTCATTTAGAAGATTTAGTACATTACAAAAGGCTGATGATGTCCTCGACTTGTGATAGATCCTCATCCCTGTGGTGAGCTGAGGGTTTATGGCTTTAAATGAGACACCAGCTGTGTTTGTTTGTGAGTGTGTGTGTGTGTGTGTCTGACCAGACACTGCTGGTTACACCTGCTTCCTGTCAGAGTGAAACCACCGTCTCTGTGGCCAAACCATAAATACTGGACTTGTCAAGCAAACTACATGGCAGAGTCATAGGTGCATGAGTGTAAAAATTACAACATTATACACATATCAGAGTTAAATCTAACTGAAACAGAATTTATTTACTTAAAATAACTGCCTTTAAAATGTACTGTAAAGCCTGGTTAATCCAACCTTAAAAAATACGTCACGTCAAATTGTGCCTGTAATGTGCATGAAAATCATGGAATTACTTAGAGAGTAAGCATTGTGCTTCTTCAGCTCAGCACACCAGAAATATACATTGTATTATATCTTTTAGATTTTTAGAACTGACTTATGTTTTACAGCAGTAACACAGTTTCAAGCTGTCTGATCATTTTACACTGTTGATTTCAATACGTGCTGAAAATGCAAAGGCTCCTTCAGCTGTAGCGGCTGTATTTGCATATAGGGAGGTGGTGTAAATGAGTGCTAAATAACTTCCTGGAGCCAGTGTAATTTGGCAGGTGGGTGTAAGGCATCTTGTAGCTCTGCTGACACCAACAACAAAGTGTGATTATGCATACAGTACAGCAGCTCACAGAATTACTTTAAAGTAACAATGTCGTCTTTTTTATTAGTTCACTGAGACTCAATCGCATTTTGAGTTATAGATTTTATTTCATGGTTTTTGTGCATTTTTACCTTTATTAGGTATTGTGAGTAGAGAGATGGCAGGAAATGAGGAGAGAGTGAGATGGGGGATGGCATGCAACGAGGATCTCTGGCTGGATATTCTAATTACATGACATGTCTCTTAAAATGCCCCAAGTTAAAGATTTAAATCTTAATACAAGGAGGTTTATTCTTAAGATGTTACAGCTTTCTGTGTATTGACTGGAATAACTAGCTCTTCCCAGAAGTGATAAATGCCTATACAGCACCTAATTCTGCCTTTCGATGCAAATATTAATCACATTTATTACTAAGGAAGTTAAAATTGTATAGTCAGATCCTTTGACACAGTAGCCTTTTGATTTCAAAGGATGTCTGTGTTGAACACATCCTGTGTATAATACTGACTCAGTAGTGTATAGATATTGGATTTTAGGAAGGAAGTATTTTTCTGACCAACCTGCAAACTGACAGCTTATAGTCTAAGTCAGTGGTTCTCAACCTTTTTGGTGTCAAGGACCCCAAAATGTATACCTCCCAGGCTGTATTTAATAAGATGTAGCCTCCAGAGTCCCCATCTGATAAAATTTAATTATAACTGTCTATATTGTAGATTAGCAGATTACCAGTCAAGAGTAATTTATACACATTATCTCACTGGGCTAACGTCTAGTCAGTAAAATAATAATTAAATTAAATTAATGTCTGTTTTTCTGGAAACCCCTGGAAACCCCTCAAAGACCCCTGGTGGTGTCATAATCAAATGTATCATATCCTCACATTTATCTTTGTATAAGGCTTTTTTCATAATAATAAATTAAGTGCAACACAAGACAGAAACAACTTATATTATATTGTATTATATTATATATAACTTTATATTTTTTTCAACTGTGCACAACCTGCTGCTCACCAGGTACAATGAAAATGATGATGATGATGATGATAGCAGAAGGTCTTATAGACTATGAGATCCTGTGTAAATAAAAAAGATGCAGTTCCTTATAAAAACACTTCTAAACGTCAGCTGTCCTTCCCGGTACGAAGATCTGCGTCATCCATACAAAAACACTTTTTGAGAAGAAAAAGGGGGGGGGGGGGGGGGGGGGGGGGTTTTGTTGAAATCATGCAAAGGTGGGGCGTTTGTCACGAGCCCTGATTTCGAAGTTGGTGGAAAGGAAGGGGGAAGGGGCTGCGGCGGAGGGGTACAAAATGCACATCCGACCGCCTGCATTGACAGCTTTTAGAAAAAATAAATAAATCCACGCCACAGGCTGCTTACACGAAGTCATCACTTATAATAACTCAGCGCGGATTTTTAGGACAGCCCCGTATCCTTACATGGCTCGCGGAGGAACTGGTTCACGCACGGGGCTCAGTAGTATTTGAGGTGGACTAGTTTTCTTAGCGGAGGTGCGGAGTTTTTGACTCAGGACTGGTGTAGGGGGGCTACTGAATGGGAGCAGTCACTGGATTCGTGTGATACCAACGCAAGCCACCCAGACTACCTACTACTGCCCATCATATTTGACTTTTGGGGACGTTTAGGGCACAAACAGAACAAGATCACCCCTTTTACTCCTGCTGTCCCCTTCCCCTTTCCTTCCTCACGGATTCTTCAGAAAGAGAAATCCTCCCGAAATGGCTCAGATACTGCCGATACGATTTCAGGAACATCTGCAGGTAAGCACTCAGCAGCAAAAAAAAAAAAAAAAAAAAGCCCTAAAAATGAATTTCAGCTCATTTGTTTTTGCGCAGCTCCTCGCCCATGTAGGTCCGCACACACACGGCACATGTCGCATTTAAATGGAATCTGAAATAGGGCTGCAGGGTGGTGCTCAATATAGCTACAGGCCTAGTTTTCTCCTGCCGGGCAGATGATGACTTGTAAAAATTGACCAGTCAGATTGTGTACTGCTCCAATGCGGACCGGTGTGTGTTTGTGTGTGTCTGTCTCTCTGTCTGTGTGTGTGTGTGTGGATACGCCGCAGTTTTTCTCCCTTCAAGTGGAAAAAACGCCGCTGTCATTTTCAGTCCGCGCCGATGCAAACTGCGGTGTTTTGACACTTTTTTTTGATGCGGACAACTGAGCTCAGCTGTTGGTGGTTACATTGTAACTGAGACCTGGATGGCACTTGCACTCCAGCTTTGTGGCTACCATGTTGTTGTCATGTCCTGCAGCAACATATTCCTACTTTGTAACCCTCAGCAGTAACAACAGTGCTGAGCGTGTAACTTCACCATAATATACTGATGATATATTGATGATGTTAGTGTGTGTGTGTGGAGAAGTAGGGGGATTTATTTTGCACTCAGTTGCAACATTGAAAGATATTCAGAAAACTGCATCCCTAAGCTGACCTGAAAAACATGTCTCGATATTTAAATAACCAAAATATTGGTCTCATATTACAGCATCAGTATTATATTGATTTGATGTGTCTCCCTGCTCTACTTTTATGGTATTTTCATGCCAAAATAATCAACCTGAATGAGTAGCGAAGGGCCTGCAGTCTTTGGTTGGGAGTTTCTTGGTGGAAAAAACAACACAAAATGACCTTTTACAATCTGTGACAAAAAAAGGACAACAAACAGTTATGAGGTCGTCTGTGAAGGAACTACTTCCTCTATGGCCCCCTTTTTCTTTCTTCCTCCATATTGGACTTTTGTTAATCGTTGTCCCATAGCAGCCCCAGTGCTTGGTGTCTTGCAGCCAAAAGACAAACTTTGTGACGCACCCCTCCACCTCCCCTCCTCTGTAGCCCGTTGTTATGGTAACAGCAGGCAGTGAAATGGCCTTTCACTAGGAAAAAAAAAAGAAAAAGAAAAGCACAGAGCACCCCCCACCACCCCCCTCTCTCTCTCTCTCTCTCTCTCTGCTCCCTTCCTCTGGCCAGTAGCCCCACTTTCGCCAGCCAATGATCCTTTATCCACCAAATAACCGTGCTGGCCAAGAGAGCTTGCAGTCTCCTCTCCTCACTGACAGGAATAGTACACTGTTGCTCGCTGATGGAGGGCAGTGCAGTACCTGGCAATGTCTGGGTTATTAGTTCAAATAACTCTTCAACAGTGCATACCTTTCCCTTATACATCTCCTAGGAAAGTCTCTCCTTGAGACAGTGATAAGCAGCAGACTGCTTTACGTTCCACCTCTACCGTGAAATCCCAGCTCTGCCCCAGTCGTATCCCTCTGTGAATCTAGGTGGCTCCAGCAGAGTGAAAAATGCTTGGAATTTGCAATCCCAGGACTTTGGGCCTCAAGTTGTTTAGCTTTTTTTTTTTTTTTCTTGGCCTGGTATTTACAGCTCTGTGTCTGTAGTCTGGGCTGGCCTTCAGGAGTGTAACATGGACCCAGCTTCATGATAAGGTACCAGCCTGTTGAATTAGCAGTTGAAGAGCAAATCAAATGCTCCATATATCTTAGTTATTCCGCTCAAAATAGCTCTTTAACACGCCTCTGGTGTTGAATGCGGATGTGGAGGATGAAGTCTGGATCTCACAGCTATTGTTTTAGCTATGAGAAATTCAATAGTATTCATTTTCTCAATCCACACCAGTAGCTATGGATCGCCTGCCTCCCTTACACTGTCATTAACGCTAAGCTTTGTGGTAATTGGAGTCCCCCTCCATCATTACTCTTTGTCCTCCTTGCTTGTTTACTTTAGTATGATTTATGATCCAAGGTCCAGGCTGAGTATGAGCATGTCAGAGCGGACCATTAATTGACCAAATGGATCAGTGCCCTAGTTGGATGTGTGGAGCTGAATGTAGGCTACATCACTGTGGCCTCCAAACTGTGTTTTAAGTTTAAGTTTAAGCCACACAGGCTTATATTGGTGGCAAGATGAAAGAAGACAAGGACAGAGAATGTTGTATTGAATTATGAAAGTGCTAAAGTGAGAGTCATTTGCAGCTTATGTGGCTCTGCTGCTCGCTGTCAGTGCGGCGGCCTACGTATTGTAGCAGCTTGTGTAAGTGCAAAAATGTCCTGCAGCCCTGAAGCGCCTGAACATTGTCCTGTCCAGTTGAGTTAGGAAAATCCAACCTGCTGCGCTGCAGCTTTTTACAGCATCCTGCTGTGCTGTTGTATCTGTACCGATGAAATGATGCTTCCACATCAAAACCAGCGGATGTGATAGACAAGTGAGGTAAGCAGGCCCTATTTAAGTCCAGCAAATCACATCAGGATAGGAAGCAGGACGGCAGAGCAGAGTCTAACTCAGTATAACAGAACACATCTGTGACTGCATCAGTGGCTAGTCACCAAAACTCAATCATGAATGCATTGAAAGAGCAGTCATTCACACTTACAATATGCACATTGTGTTATTGTGTTATATTAAATTAGTCACAGACAGTTATTTTCATTAACAATGAATCTGCAGATTATTTTCTAGATAATCCAATTAATGGTTTTGGCTATAAAATGTCAGAAAATTGTGAAAAAGAAACAAATTTCCCAAAGTGAAATCTTTAAATTATTTGTATTATTCTACAGTTCAAAATCAAAAGATAGTCAGGTAATTGTGATATATAACAAAGAAAAGCATCATATCCTTACATCTGAAAAAACAGGTTAAACAGTTTTGCTTGAAAAACGACTGAAATGATTCTTGAATTTAAAAAAAGAAAAGGTATTGCTCTAAACTATTGTTCAGGTCTAAACTGACATATCAGACATTTTACAACCTTTTAAGTTACATGGTAAAAGTGTTGTATCCAATATTCTCTCTCCTTTTAGCTCTGTTTTGCTCTCCACCACCTCCTGAGGAAAATATCAGGCTCTATAGCTCTATATATCTAAATGCTTCACTATTTTTACCAGCTAGTCACTAACTTTAATTTTCTGTTTACTCTGCTAGGCAGGTTGCATATAGAGGATTTTTAGAGCTTTTTTAGAAGCTTTGGGGGCTTTTTTAGAGGGTTCATTGAAAACGGCTGCCTGCTGCTGCCGAAAACAATACAGATGAGAGCGTTGAGAGTGAACCCGAACATTAAAGTTGCGACCCGGAAACCCAAAACAATGAGCTGAAAGACACAATAAAACTCTGTAGAGCTGAGGGGAACTGCAGAGTTGGGTGATAATTATCTGTGTATCACTACGACCGACCCTGTACACACTGGTAATATAAAATATTTATTAGAGCAGCTTTAAGGTTTTCATGTATACCTCCTAACATATAAGCTACCTAACCTATACCTACCTCTTGCACAAGAAAGTGTGAAGTATCAACACTTCCATGTCTTTTTGCTGCATTATTCAGCTTTAATTGTGTTTGTGTAATCTCCTCATGAACCTGAAACCCTCAGCTGCTGATGCAACGTGTCAGTGCCTCAGCAATGCATCCACCCAGCCTATGACTCACCAAATACCGTCAACGCTGTATCATCAGTGTACTTCCATTGCCTTTGTTGTATAAATGCTGTTTATGTGGTTGTTCCTATCAGCTGTTAAAGGAAGAGAACTTACAGGAGTCTGTGTGTGTGAGGATATATTACTGAGATAGCTTGTGGGTCACTGGAGACAGTAGGTTGTTGTTAAAGTGTGATTTTAGACGGGAATGTTCTACTAAGAAGGAGCATGGGGGGGGGTTTCTTCCGGTGAGTCAGTTGCCCCACCCTGAACTGTAGTTTGCCAAAGGCCTGTGTTACTGGAACTGCATTGTACAGGCCTTACTGCTCATCCCTCTTTCTTCATTCCTAATAAAAGGTACATTTATCACTGTGGCTTCTCTTCTTCACACTGGTTCTCTCCAAGACCCACCCTCCCTTCCTTTAGGCAGGATGCTGCTGCACTGTGTCTGTGTCCTTATCCCCCACCACTATCTTTATTGAGGTTTCCTTCCCCTCTCCTCCCACTGATAGTTTTGGCAGTCTTGAGGAGATGGAGCATATGGCTCCAATCCTCCCTCAGGTCTTCTCTGTGGCTTCTCTCAAGACGCCTTTATCTCGCATGTCTCCATAAGTCAACAGAAACCAACACAACATTGAGTTGACAAGGATATTTTGGGATATTTATATGTATCTTGATTCTAGCTAATGTATCCAAAATCATATATAAAACAACCAAAATGGTGCAGCTAGTATTTTATTCATTCATCGTCTATAAAAAGTTAAAAAGAATTTAAAAATGCCCATCACAGTTTCCCAGAGTCAAAGGCAAAGTCTTAAAATTGTTTGTTTTTGTCAGACTAATAGTCCAAAATTCGAAATAAATAAAACATTTCAGAAGCTGGAAGCAGAGAGTTTGGTGTTTTTGTTTTTGTAAAATGCTGATTCATCCATTATCAAAACAATTACTAGTGTATAGTCAATGGACTATTCATTCTAGCTTTGAACCGATCTTTGAAGAAATGAATTCTGTTCCACTGTTACCCAGTTCATGAGAACAAACTCAGCGTACAAAACAGAAACAACTAATTTTGTTATTTCTTATTTTCAGCTTCATTGGACAAAGATCATACCGTTGCAGTAAAGAGTTGAGAAATGATGACGCTGCATCAATTGCTGCTGAGCATGAGGTTGATGAGAGCAGATTTTGTGGGTCATAAAACCAAAACAATGAGCTAAAAGAGCTGAAAAAGCTCCAAGAGGAACTGCAGACTTTCATCGTTCTCAGTGGTAATTGTGACTAAAAGCAGCTCATTAAACATTAAACAAAGTGACTAGAGCCACCAGTAATATTAAAAATATTGACTGTTGCAGCTTTAAATTATCTTCCAGCCCTACTTAGTGTGATAGGAAATCTAGAAATGGCTATTCTTGAATCTAATTAATGAAAGAACTTGCTTAAAAAACAGCTTCTCATTGGAAGCCCTCTGTCCACCCCCGACTGATGAGAGCTACATCCTTCCTGTTTTGTAGATGACATGATTTAAATGGCTCAGCGGTCATGATTTGTTGTCGTGCTCTATCAGCCAACTGAGAGATAGTGCAGTCCTTGTGATGAGCGTAAGGATTCCTTTCCGCTTGCCTCAGACTGCATAATGCAGTCAGTTCAGTCATCAGAGGGAGAGTGCGTGTTTTGGTCTGCCCTCTCAGTTCACAGTTAGTTTGACAATGTGCACAATAATTCCTCTGTTCAGCAGCCGTTAACCTCGGCGGAGTGCTTCATGGTTTTTAGTTCGGCTAAGTTTTGACACAGCAGAAATTGACATCAGCTTGGTCTTTGTGTGTTTTTGCGTCTTGGGACTTCTCATTAGAAAAGTAAATATGCTGAATAATGAATTGGATTCGCTGATGGTGGCTTATTAAGAGATTCTAATTGATTCTTGGTTTCAGTGGATCTCTATCGGGGATTTTCTTAAATATTGTCTCATACTGGTTTAGGCTGAATAATCTAGTTATAATTAAACTTCTTTACAGCCGGCTGCCTAGATAGACAATTAAATGCAGTGCCAGGGTTTAATCGCAGGCTTTGCTGTAAAGTAACGCTGTATTTTTTAAAAGTATAATTGAGATGATTACAATAATGGTAATGCAATTTAAAAAAAACATCTGTCATGAAACATCTCAATGCTTCAGTAAATCCAGGAGACTATCAGCAGCTATAACAGGAGTGTAAAATAAAGCTCTGTGGAGTTAACATCCTGTTGTCCACTTTGTGCCCACGCTTGTTCCCTGGCTCCATGTACCACCAGACCTCCTGTCTGGAAAACAACCTTTGAGAATATTGGAGCAGACCTGCTGCTATTTTAATCATAACACAGTGTTGGTCCGCTGCTTGCTGCTTTTTTCCCCCTGCATGGCAAATGTCAGCTGCTGCCATATATATTTTCCCACTGCATGTTTTTGTTGTTGTGATGTAGGCGTCACTCCTTCAGAGGCCTTAAAACTGCGTTAAGTTGGAATATTCCATGAGTTTCTCTTTTAGCGCAGATGTTGGAAACTGTTGGCTCACTATAATGAAGTCTTCTGTTTTATTTTCATTTAACATATTTTGGTTTGACATTAAAATGACACCAGCTCATAGCTCATCCTTTCCAATTATTATTATTATTATTAGGAAACATTCTCCCTATTTAGAATTTATAAACAATTAACAATGAATACATTGTTTGTAGCATGCTTTAACTTTCATTATTGGTTTTATTCATTTATTTGTCAACAACTATAACTCTACCTATGAAGCATCCGTAATTAATGATGAACAGATAATGAATGATATCCAATATAATGCAACACAGATGTAATCATATTTTATGTGAATATTAAGTATTTATCAATAATATGTATTTATTATATTTATTAATTTGTAAATAATACAATATTTATAAACTGACAGCTGAGCAGACCACAACATGTAGATAAAATCTCTAAAGGAAATCTAATAAGTGGACCTTGAATTAAGAATTATCATTATTTCCAATTAAACTATTATTTCAAAGTGTTTTTTTTAATAAAATTTATAAACTGTTATAAGTGCAACTCTGAATGATTTAATAACGTTAAGTGTTTTCTAACACACTGTGAAAGTTTATTCATGTGTGTAATCTTATATCATTGATATTTGTCTCCTTAATACAAAGCTACAGCCAGCAGATGGTTAGCTTAGCATAAATATTGGAAACAGGAAGAAACAGCTGGCCTGGCTCTGTCAGCAAAATCCACCTTTCAGCACCTCTAAAGCTCCGTAATTAGCAGTTCATATCTCGTTTTTTTTAAAAAAAGACAAAAATGACAATTCGCAATTTAATGGGGAGGTTTTGTGCCGGACTTGGAGTTGCCAGGCAACCAGACAAGACTCAAGGAAGTTACGGCACAGACCAGTAAATTGTCATTTTTATATTCTGTTTGTGTTTTTAGTAATCAAACAATATAGATACAACATGTCAGTTAGTGAGCTTTACAGGTGCTGTTTGTTGAATTTTGTTACTATTGGTCAGAGTTTCCTCCTGCTTCCAGTCTTTATGCTAAGCTAAGCTAACTGGCTGCTGACTGTAGCTTCATATTTACCATATAGACATGAGATTATTAGTATTTTCCAAAATGTAGATGGCTTTAAATATAGTTACAGCGATGTTATCAATAATTCATTAACTGTTTATACACTAGTATCAACAATTTATTCAGCCTTATACTGCTTTTAATTGCTAAATATGGTTAAAGTAAAGATTCGGGTAAAGATTCTCATGTTGCTGTTTTTTGTTTTAATATTTCCAGTTGCAGAACATGGGTGTGAACCCAGCCAACATTGGGTTCAGCTATCTGACCATGGAGTCGGACAAGTTCATCTGCATCAGAGAGAAGGTGGGTGAGCAGAACCAGGTGGTGATCGTGGACATGTCCGATCCCACCAACCCAATCAGGAGGCCGATCTCTGCCGACAGTGCCATCATGAACCCTGCCAGCAAGGTCATCGCCCTGAAAGGTAAGAGCATGACACATTCGGCAACACATTCAGGCAGCCACACCACTGTTAGAAATACTGTGTTGTTGTAAGAAACAAAAAACACTTTGCTGGTATTGTTAGTGGCTTCATACCAAGCGCTGAGGTTATTATTGTTGTTTAAATTCCCAGAGTGAAGTCTGCATGGCATTCACACTGTTTATTTGTCTCTAGTTTAAACAGATTTAGCCATCCACTAGTATTACGGTGGGAATGCCACCGGTCATGCAATGACTAATGCTCTGTCAATGCTGTAAATATGTAGAGTGCACTCAGTTCTATTGCCCGAATGTACTAAATTGGTCGTGCAAATTGATTTTCTGCCACTGAATCTAGCCCTCAGAGCACAAACACAAGCGCTGATCAGGATGATTTGCCTATAATGCTTCTCTCTCTCCCTCCTCCCCCTTCCTCTGAGGATTATATGACCCTATTTGCCCTTTCCTGCTGGTCTATCTTTGTCTTCTTATTCTTACCTGATTGACACTTTCTCTTTTCGCTTTTTCTCCCTTGCTTTCTGTCATTTCTCAGACGGTGAGTTGCTTTCTGTCTGTCTACCCGTCTAGCGCTCTGTTGTGATGATACAGTAGCCATGTCTCTCTCATAAAGGCGTCCCACATACCCCTATCAAGTACGCAGAGCTATTTTGACCACTGATCAATCAAAGGACAGACAACTGTTTAGAAATTACTTCTACTGCCAATATATTGCCTCAGTGTCACACTCCTACTCTGACCAAACCTGCTGGCACTTATCCTACTTTTATGAGAACTATACATGTGTTAGCATGATCTGTTTTATGCTGGTAGAGGGTATGTGTGGTATGCATCATCAGATATTGCACACTGAAAAGAGTTGGGGCGCCGTGTGTCTTTGCACGCCTGTGTGAGCGTGTGCCATATCAACATTCAGATCTCTCTTTGCTGCATAAAAGGGGTGCCATTAATGTATCATTATATCTATAACAGCTCCAGTATACACCTGAATCATGCATTACCTCACCTGTTTGTTTCTCTGTAACTTTATTGGTAAATGTTGTTATTGGTCATGTATAGCTCTTCATACAATATTTTAGTACTCTAGCCGAACCTGTGGTATCTCAAGGTTTATTCTGTAATTTATCTTAAAGCTGCCGTCTGCTTGTGAAGCCAGAGGTCAGCTGCACCCAGGAAGTATCAGCCAGGTTACTGTGTACAGAGCGGTGCTTCCTTGGCCTATAAAACACCCTTAACCAGAGAAGAAAACAGACTTCCTCTGTCCTCTAGTGGTATCAGTGCATTTTCCCCCATTACAGTGGAGGTGAATGTGAAATTCAACACCATCACCTCTGTCTCTGTTTGTTACTTTAAATAATCCATAAAACATGCTACAAAAAGTCCTTTTTAAAGTACGTCCATTTTGACCTGTTCATATAGAGGTCTGTGTGTTATTCAGAGTAACAGTTACATGGTGCCAAAAATAAAATAGCTTTTGGGACGCACAATACCAAACCTATATATGTGTCTAAACATCACAAGATATAGGCCGTGAACAGTGAAAATCCACAGATACCAGACTGCATTTCAGGAAATCAGTAACAGAGTAAATTTTGCTTAATTCTTTAGGTTATTTCCTCACTGTGTGCAGTTGTGAACTATCCTCTTAAATTAAGATTTATGGGTGGTCAGTGAGACTGTAGTGTTGGGAGTTTTTGTTTGTGTTTACAGTCAGTCTGCCAAAATTGCTTTTAATACATGAATCTAAAATAGGTTGAAAGCAGTTTAACTTTATGAGAAAAGAATAGCAATATAAATAGTTATATGCAAAAAAAACATTTCATCAGAAAATGTGATACAGACTTTCAGTAGTCATTTAATAGAAGTCCATACAGGTAGTACATTCAGTGGTATTTTGTTACCAGATATCATTCATTTATCATCAAGCTAAATGTGTGATATTATGATTTTGGTGAGAGGTTACATTACCCAGCTCTACTTTAAACCTACTGATAGCTCTGATACGTGTCTCACTTGCCTCCCCTCGGGTTCTTTACCTCCCCTCAGCTGCCAAGACGCTGCAGATCTTCAACATTGAGATGAAGAGTAAGGTGAAGGCTCACACTATGACAGAGGAGGTCATGTTCTGGAAGTGGATATCGGTGAACACTGTTGCCCTGGTGACTGATTTGGCCGTCTATCACTGGAGCATGGAGGGGGATTCCCAACCTACCAAAGTATTCGATCGGCACGCCAGTCTGGCGGGATGTCAGATCATCAACTACAGAACTGACGAACAACAGAAGTGGCTGCTGCTGATAGGGATTTCTGCACAGGTATGAAAAGACACATGAACATGTTTACTCATACCTCCCACAGTGGAAGTGAACATGACAGAGAAATATCTTGCAGAGGAATTAGTATGATTTATCACTCTCTGATCCCCTTATCTACATCCTCATAGGACAAAAAGTACACACTAAGATACATTTATCTCTACAATTTTAAAACTTTCATCTTACTTGCTCTGTGAACACATCACGTAAAATTGTGATCAGTGCAAGACTGAGTGTTAACAGGTAGCATCAAATCACTGTTTTATGCTTGCTGAGTTGTGTGAGTTAGTGTGAGTCAGTCTATACTGAAACATAACAGATGATGTAGAGCAGGAAGGGACAGAGTGGATGTTTAATGATTGAAAGAAGAGGGAGAAGAGGAGAGTCAGTCATTGTTTTGGAGTTTCACTGACTGTAACACTCATAAACCAAACTAGTGTGAAATACACATCACGTACGCACGCACGCACACGCGCGCACACACACGCGCACACACACAGCTTTGCTTACTGCATATAATAGTTAACATTTTGGGAAATAAGCTTATTACGCTGAGAGTTACGTGATAATATTGATACCACACTCATGTCTGTATTGTTAATATGAAGCTGGAACCAGAAGGCGGTTAGCTTAGCTTAGCATGAAGAGCTCAAATAGAGGGAAACAGCTAGCTGGCTCTTTCCAAGGGTAACAAAATACACATACCACCAACTCCAAAGTTCACTAATTATGGTGTTATATCACATTTCTTTAGTTACCGAGTTTTCCAGTAACCAGCAGAGACTCCAGGCTGCAGTATCTTCTTGTCTAACTCTTAGAGAGAGCGCATAAGAGTATGTAGCAAGACGCTACTAACGAGGGTTCTCCCAGCACATAGACCAACCACAGGGATTGTTGAACTAATATCCACCCACGATGCCTCAACCAAAGCCCCGGGTCAAACCAGGTTTTGCTGAATTATAGACTGCATACAGCCTGAATCCACCATTGCCTGATGTATACCCCCTTGAATCTTTACCGGAACGCTGTATGTCCCTCCTGGACCGGGGGAGGGTGTTGTGGGCTAGCAACCCGGATCACCTGGCTGACCTCCATGAGCGGGCACTCCCTGCGAAAGTGTCCAGGCTGCCCACACCTCCAACACTCCTGCCCCAACATCTGAGGAACCCTCTGTGGGTCTAGAGCAGCGCCTGTAGTGACTGGACCCCGAGATGGGGAGAAAACAGAGGGAGTGTTAGAGTGAGGCAAAGGGGAAGGCTGAGTGAATGTGTCCTGATGATGGGTAGGTGGCGGTGTGGGTTTCTTGCGGGGTGCCGGTATTGGTCGGGTGGGTTTCGGAGGGTCGCCTCTCTGGAGCCTGGTCCCTACTCTGGACCGCCAGATGATCCTCCACTAGGGTGATGGCGGCCTCCATATTTGCTGGTCTGTGACAGCGCACCCACGCCAAGGTCCCGGTCGGGAGCCCCTCCACAAACTGCTCCAATACCACCTGCTCCAGCATCTGCCCCTCGCTGGCGGATTCCCCTGGCTGCAGCCACCTGGAAGCAGCGTCCTTCAGCTGCTGAGCGTAGACAAAGGGGCGGTCGGTAGGTCCCAATGTGGCGTTCCGGTCAAGGATAGCTCTTCTGATGTTTTTAAACTCCCCCGAGAAGAAGCTGGCAGGCCGCAGTCTGGGATTCCCCTGACAGTAGGGGAAACAGACGCACGGCCCACTCCGCCGCCGGCCAATCACATGCCTTCGCCGTTGCCTCAAACATCTCCAGGAATGTTTGGGGGTCATCAGCTGTTGTCATCTTGTGCATGGTGATATCGGAGAAGGAGGGAGGTGGAGGCGATGGCGACTGTGTCCCTGACCGGGCCAGCAGACTTGCAAGCAGCTGGTTCTGCTTCCTCGCCTGGTCGTGGAGTGCCTCCAGGTGCTGCCTGTTCACCGCTGCCTGCTCTCAGTACATTGCAACAACCTCCCCCAACATCTATCCCAGCCATGCCACCAGCGGTGGAGGCTGCTGCAGGTCTGTCATCCTGTGTGCTGAGGTGCGTTGGGTGCCAGTGTAGCAGGACTCGCTACTAACAAGGGTTCTCCCAGCACATAGACCAACCACAGGGATTGTTGAACAAGACGACTTTATTCTTTTGACTGCTGCACACACAATAAACACACAACTGAGCCTGCTTCCTGAAGTCGATACAGGTCTGCTCCAGTTGTGTCTCCTCTGTCATGTGTCGAGCCTCAAGGTCCAGCACACTACTGCCTTAAAAGAGGTGAGAGTGATTAGTTCATGCGTATCAGCTGAGACAATCAACTCACCTGGCGCTGCTCTCACAAGCCTTCCCCAGAGCTCTCTCCTCTGCAGCTGAGTGCAAACCACACCCACCTCCACAGAGTATTTCCCTAAATGCAGAACTATGTCTTTAACCACAACTAATCAAATACATAAACCTAATCAACATACCTACTACCTACTAATATAACATATAACATATATTGTATCCATACTGTTTATGACATATTACTGTAATGTAACGAACGTTTCCAGTGTGAGGATTTCTTAAACTCGAACCTAGAACCATCGTTGATTCATTGGATTAACGCGGTGGTGTTACTGACTTAAATGCATCAATCATTTCTTACACTCTTGTTGTGTCTCTTTGTTCTGCAGCAAAATCGTGTGGTGGGGGCGATGCAGCTCTATTCAGTTGACAGGAAAGTGTCCCAGCCCATCGAGGGGCACGCTGCTGCCTTTGGGGAGTTCAAAGTGGAGGGAAATGCCAAACCCTCCACGCTTTTCTGCTTTGCTGTGCGCTCACAGGCTGGGGGAAAGGTGAGGGCCCCGTTGTACACAGGAATTTCACTCACGATGCTATCAGTGTATTTAGTCTCTGAACAAAGAGCTCTGAATTGCGTTGTGTTTTAGGTTATATCTACGATCTGTCTCACTAGAGCACCAGCATCTCAGACCATAACAACTGGGCGCTTCGGCCGTACAGACCATTGTCAAGGCCAGCAATTTTACCGAGCAAATCATTGTAAAACACACTTCAAACTGGACAAAAACAACATAAAACTCCCTTTCCACTGTCTTTCTAACAATCACCAACACTGATTTGTTCGAAATAAACAGATGTGAAAGTATTTGTGAAAAGGGCTGCAATGGCGTCAATTTAGGTTACGTGGCACCTGTTAAAGTACGGGACAGAACTAGACCTTTTGTTTAACTAGAAACACTTCGCATATGATTGCAACATTACAACTGTATTCAAAGTGGAGAGAAACAAAAGTCACAGAAACTGTCTTTGTTAGTCTTTCCACTGTTCCAACATTTCCTTAATCCTTAATTCACCAACGTAGATAAGAAAAACAGCAGTTTCAGTTTCTGCCACATTTGCAAAGGAGTGTCCACTCAGGGTGCCATTACTCCACCATATCTTTACATAGCATATAATTGTTTGCTGCTATATTAGTGTTTAGAATCATATATGTATATAACCTTTAAGATCATAGGAGAAACAACCGTGATGCTTTTTGCTCACCATAATAGCTCCAAAATATTGACATTAAAAAAGTGCATCGTCTCTCTGCTGTGCTTCATCTTCATATTTATTTTACTGTGGTTGTCTGTGGTCAGTTCTTTATGTGGGCTTTCTTCTTCCAGTTGCACATCATTGAAGTTGGTCAGCCAGCTACAGGAAACCAGCCATTTGCAAAGAAAGCAGTGGATGTGTTTTTCCCTCCAGAGGCCCAGACAGACTTTCCAGTAGCTATGCAGGTAAGGAAAGACCCCTGCTACTTATTAGTTTTGTGTAAACTAAAGGTGACCGCTGAATTCTTCAAATTCTCTTTTTGTTATCATTTCCCTCAGATTGGTAGTAAGCACGGTGTCATATATTTGATCACAAAGTACGGTTACATTCACCTGTATGACCTGGAGTCTGGAGTGTGTATCTACATGAACCGAATCAGTGCAGAGACCATCTTTGTGACCGCCCCACATGAAGCCACCTCGGGAATTATTGGGGTCAACAAGAAGGGACAGGTGAGAAACCAGAACCAAACCGGAAATACGTAATTATTGTTAAATTGTTTCCTTTCATGGCTGCTTTACCTCATTCATCTACTTTACATGTGTATCTATTCTTTCCTTTTATAGGTCTTGTCAGTGTGCGTTGAAGAGGAAAACATTGTCAATTATGCCACCAACGTCCTGCAGAACCCTGATCTAGCCTTGAGGATGGCTGTGAGGTCAAACCTTGCTGGGGCTGAGGAGATTTTTGCCAGGAAATTTAACACTCTGTTTTCTCAGGGAAGTTATTCGGAGGCTGCAAAGGTTGCTGCATCAGCACCCAAGGTAAGCCTGTATTTCCCGCTACCTTGTAGTTTCCTAATACGCACCAGGTGCGCTGGCAAAAAATCTAAAACAATTCTAGGTTCAAAAAAAGTTACGCCCTCTGTGATTCAGTGTTGTAAAAAATAGAAGAATCCAAAGGATGTGGTTCATATTTTTTATAGGCACTGCAAATCCTATTCCTGTCTTAGTTTAGAAGATTTAATGGAATTACTTGTTGTGTCTTGTTTTTTCCGTTATACCCATAATTCCTCCATTCTTCCTCGTCTTTCCTCCCTTCAGGGTATCCTGCGGACAGCAGAGACCATCCGGAAGTTTCAGAGTGTCCCGGCCCAGCCAGGTCAGGCCTCACCACTGTTGCAGTACTTTGGTATTCTGTTGGACCAGGGCCAGCTCAACAAGTTTGAATCTCTGGAGCTGTGCAGGCCCGTCTTGCAGCAGGGTCGCAAGCAGCTACTGGAGAAATGGCTGAAGGAGGACAAGGTAGGACTGGAGGATTAGAACAACAAGGCAGCTTTCATATGCTTGGGCTGATCCGCAGATATACAGTAGACTCTCAGAAATAGATTTTGAAAGTGACAATGGTAAGAGTGATGTGGGTTGTTAGCGAACACTTAACTTTCGCTAAAGTTCTTAACTGTCAGCTATACAGTGCTCATTAACTCACTGCTGTGATTGTATGTGTTGTAGTTGGAGTGCTCGGAGGAGCTGGGAGACCTGGTGAAGGCCTCTGACCCCACCCTCGCTCTTAGTGTGTACCTCAGAGCTAACGTCCCCAACAAGGTCATACAGTGCTTCGCTGAGACCGGCCAGTTCCAGAAGATAGTGTTGTATGCTAAAAAGGTAATCACTTAACAACACTAGAACAAATGAACACATATTTATTCAGCACATACCGGTATATGAAAACACCACTCAATACTAATGGGTCAGTGCAAGTGATTCACAGTTTCTGCACGCTTTTTTAAAATGTGTGTAACATTAAGATGGAAACATGTAGTGATACAATATTTATTGTAACTTTGAGAACAGAATATAATACTATATGTGTGTAAATGTCATTGAGAACTACATTTTAAACCACTGTACCTTTGTAGGTGGGCTACACCCCAGACTGGGTGTTTTTGCTGAGAAATGTGATGCGTGTCAATCCAGACCAGGGGCTGCAGTTTGCTCAGATGCTGGTCCAGGATGAGGAGCCACTGGCCAACATCAACCAGGTAACGCACACACCAACACGACCACCTTACATACAATGTTAGTCCTATGCATGCCCTCTCTTTTAAATCTGTGTATTTAACCTCACACGTTCACGCAAACATACAAAGTGCCCAGTGTAGGATCTCTGTTATTCCAGATGTGCCAGCAATGCCAGGAATTCACTGAGTCAGTGACCCCCCCACCCCCCACTCCCTTTTAAAGCCACATCATCACTCTGCTCAGTCCAAATCTCAACCAGAAAACTTGATGCTTGATGTGCCCGCCCATTTTTATTTGTGTCTAAACAGAGCAGAAACATCTGGCCTGTGATTCCTAATCGTGTGTGACTGTAATCTTACCTTGCATGCTAACTCAAATCATCTCTCACAGATGGTAGGAATTATTTTTTTTTCCATACTTGTTCCATGTTTTCATGTTCTTTGTTTTTATTTCTCTTGCCCTTTTGGTAGATCGTAGATGTGTTCATGGAGGGCAACCTGATCCAGCAGTGCACCTCCTTCCTGTTGGATGCTCTGAAGAACAACCGCCCAGCCGAAGGACACTTACAGACACGTCTGCTTGAGATGAACCTCATACACGCCCCCCAGGTGAACGTTTAGACTAAAATGACTGTCCTGATTACAGAAAGCAACTTCTCCCTTCATGATATTAAACATGACTTGTGTGTTCATGTGTGTGTGGACTTTTTTTAGGTAGCAGATGCGATCCTGGGGAACCAGATGTTCACCCACTATGACCGTGCCCACGTTGCACAGCTGTGTGAGAAGGCAGGTCTGCTGCAGAGAGCTCTTGAACACTACACCGACCTGTATGATATCAAACGAGCCGTAGTGCACACACATCTGCTCAACCCTGAGGTATGCCTGTGGATGTTTGATCACACCTGTGAATGTCGCTTTCTCAGGAGCCTTTCCTCCTCGCGTGTTTCTCTTGTCTTTTTTCTTTGCTTAATTGTCCTTCTTTCCTTTTTCTCATTCTCCTTTTAGTGGCTGGTGAACTTCTTTGGCTCTTTATCAGTAGAGGACTCTTTGGAGTGTTTAAGGGCCATGTTGTCGGCCAACATCAGGCAGAACCTGCAGCTGTGTGTCCAGGTAGCGTCTAAGTATCATGAGCAGCTGGGGACTCAGTCATTAGTGGAGCTCTTTGAATCCTTCAAGAGTTACGAGGGTAGGTGTCACTCATGAGTGGGGGTTTGAGTGCAGACTTTGGTCATGTTAAGTGAGCAATTTTGCCATTTTTGTGCAGACTTTAAGTCATCATAGATTGAGCTGACCTTTCTGCTGTTTCTCTATTCAAGGCTTGTTTTACTTCCTTGGGTCGATTGTGAATTTCAGCCAGGAGCCTGATGTTCACTTTAAGTACATCCAGGCTGCCTGTAAAACTGGCCAGATCAAAGAAGTGGAGAGAATCTGCAGAGAGAGCAACTGCTATGACCCGGAGAGGGTTAAAAACTTCCTCAAGGTAAAAAGATCTGAGTGTTAATGATTGATTTCATCATTCAGTAGCAACTGGGAGATATTTTATCCATTTCATTCAATTTGATCTCATGTTTTTTTCCTTTTGTAGGAGGCCAAGCTAACAGACCAACTTCCTCTTATCATCGTGTGTGATCGCTTTGACTTCGTCCATGACCTGGTGCTCTACCTCTACCGCAACAATCTGCAGAAATACATTGAAATCTACGTACAGAAAGTAAGATCAGGACCACAGCTGAGACTTTATATGTAATTGGTTACTGCTTAATCCAAACCTTATTTGGGTTCCATGTTGACATCTTCATTTAGAATTTGTTGCATTTGTTTTCAGGTGAACCCCAGTCGTTTACCAGTGGTGATAGGTGGTCTGTTGGATGTAGACTGTGCTGAGGATGTCATTAAGAACCTGATAATGGTGGTCAGAGGGCAGTTTTCCACTGATGAGCTAGTGGAGGAAGTAGAGAAGAGGAACAGGTAAGACTAAATGATTCCACTATTTGTTAATACTATGTTATTATCTTGCATAGTTGCTTCTTTTTGTTTATTGGGTGCAAACTGTGTGTCAAAGTGGCTCGGTACCTCTTGCAAAAATAGAATTTGTGTCTCTGTGGCTGCTAGATGTATAACGATACATCAATCTGGATCAGTATATCAATATATGTTTAACTATCCAATATATCGAAACAACAACATCGATAAATGTAACTGATTGTGTTAATGGGGATATATAATATTGTCTCCTGTTGATTGAATTCCCTTGAATCGAATCGATTCAAAATTGTATCGTGGCAGACTTTGTTTTATTGGCAAATACCATATTGTTGTCCAAAGAATCAATATGATATTGTATCATGATGAAACTGGTGATTTACGCCCCTAGTAGATACCTAATAGCTGTTCAATTAATCCTCTTTAAAAATATAACTAGTTCTAGTGGTTACATAGGCTACATTTACACTGAAAGACGTGTTTGTGTGCTTGAACCACTTCATACCGTACATTTTGGACCAGTTAAAGAAAAGACCAGGGATTACAAAAGTAAAAAAATAAATACTGACTTGAAAAATAATCTTGTGAGGATCAACAGAAATAAACTTAGCACATATAAGGACCTTGCTTGCAGAAATTTAAATATTTATAATACCATCTGATGTCCATAAACCACCAAAACGTGCACACACAAACAGAAGGGACTGAAATATACATATAAAAAAATATGAAAAATGTGCTTGGCTGTTTTTGATGATGGAATAAATATTTTTATTTAATGCTTCCAATGTCGATTATCTCTGAACTTTTCAAAATAACTGTTTTCCTACTGTTTTGTTTGTGTGAATCCATCAGTATTGCTAGACGGATAAACTGTTCCTCATTTATTGAAGCTATTTCCATCCAGTGCAAATCCTCTTTCTGTATCAGAAAATGTGAATGTGAGAAAGTGTAAACATGAATACTTTGAATGAATAACACTGCTCAATGCACAACACTGCCATCTAGTTTTGTGACTGTGCATTACACTACAAGAAAACTACAGGCATGCGCAAGCAGGTTAAAAGCTTATTCTAAATGCTGATATTTTTTTCTGGTTATGTGTTTTATTTTATGTGTTTTATCTTCACAGGTTGAAACTTCTGTTGCCATGGCTGGAGTCCCGTATCCATGAAGGATGCGAGGAGCCAGCTACCCACAATGCACTGGCCAAGATCTACATTGACAGCAACAACACACCTGAGCGCTTCCTGAAGGAGAACCCGTTCTACGACAGCGCCGTGGTCGGAAAATACTGCGAGAAGAGAGACCCCCACCTGGCCTGTGTGGCGTATGAGAGAGGACAGTGCGACCTGGAGCTAATCAAAGTGTGTAGATCACATGATACAGCATTTAGATGATCATTGACATAATCCTACAATAGATAAATCTTTAATCACTTTATATCTTTCCTTCTCAGGTGTGCAACGAGAACTCGTTATTCAAGAGTGAGGCGCGATATCTGGTACGACGGAAAGACCCAGAGCTTTGGGCGAACGTGCTAGAAGAAAACAACCCCTTCAGAAGACAACTCATCGACCAGGTTGGGTGTCCTTCAGCTCTGCTCCTGAAGTGACTGTGAATGAGGGATTTCTCCATGTTTATTTTTGTTCTCTCATGTTTTTTTCTCATCTCAGGTGGTGCAGACAGCCCTGTCGGAGACTCAGGACCCAGAGGAGGTGTCAGTCACAGTCAAGGCCTTCATGACTGCAGACCTGCCCAACGAGCTGATTGAGCTGCTGGAGAAGATTGTACTTGATAACTCTGTCTTCAGTGAGCACAGGTACCGCAGGCATACAGCCTGTTAGGCATCACAATCATTTACCAACAATTATTTTTGTCATTTAAATAATCGTCCCTGTACTGGATATTTTTCCAGAAACCTCCAGAACCTGCTGATTTTGACGGCCATCAAGGCAGATCGCACTCGTGTGATGGAGTACATTAACAGGCTAGACAACTATGATGCTCCAGACATCGCTAATATTGCCATCAGCAACGAGCTCTTTGAAGAAGCTTTTGCCATTTTTAAGAAGTTCGACGTGAACACCTCTGCCATACAGGTAAAATAATTATATTACTGCTTGAGTGAGTGTATACAAGTGTATTATTGATATGTGTATCAGTTATGTTTATGGATTTCCTAGTCTAGCAACAAGTTGTGTTTTAAATGTTTATTGTCTTTCTCTTTTTCTCCTCCTTACTACAATCATTTTTAGCAGAGGAATTTTTTAATCCCAATATTCAGGCCATTATTGATCTTGGTATCCAAAACAGACAAATTAATTTGCCAATACTAGTACTACAAGTAATTAGAATCTGTGTCGGTAATTGATGCTGGTATCAGTGTTCTGATCTTATTTGCTGTTTAGGGAATGATTACTCCTGTTTATTCCTGGAAATGAACAGCTTTTATTCCAGGTGTTTTCTGTGTGGTCACTGGAAGAACCTGTATGTCAGACCATATAATGCACCTCTCTCCTCATTCATAGGTTTTAATAGAGCACATAGGGAACTTGGATCGTGCTTATGAGTTTGCTGAGCGCTGTAATGAGCCTGCAGTGTGGAGTCAGTTAGCCAGAGCTCAGCTGCAAAGAGACCTGGTCAAGGAAGCCATTGACTCGTATATTAAAGCTGTTGACCCTTCAGCGTACATGGAGGTGGTCAATGCAGCCAGCAAGAACGGTAAGCTTTTGCTTTGCAGCACGACACAGCTTCACATCAGCAGCTCGCATTGATTGTCTTTGTTGTGATTGATCTGAGTTGATCTTTAAGGTGTTGTTTGCATTTTTTGCAGATAACTGGGAAGACTTGGTTAAGTTCCTCCAGATGGCACGAAAAAAAGCCAGAGAGTCTTACGTGGAGACGGAGCTGATCTTTGCTTTAGCTAAAACAAACCGTCTGGCTGAGCTGGAAGAGTTTGTCAGTGGGCCCAACAATGCCCACATACAGCAGGTACAAAAGAACATCACATCTGTAGTGTTAATAGGATTGTGTAGCTGTTACTTACCAGTAACTGCGTATCTATCTGCTAATTTCTCTCCTTCTCCTTCTCCAGGTGGGCGATAGATGTTATGAAGAGGGTATGTATGAAGCAGCCAAGCTCTTGTACAACAACGTGTCCAACTTTGCTCGCCTTGCATCAACACTAGTCCACCTTGGAGAGTACCAGGCGGCCGTGGACAGTGCCAGGAAAGCCAACAGCACACGGACATGGAAGGAGGTAACTGGCACACAACTGTTCAACCAGCCTTTGCCTAAAAATTGATCACTGGGATTCTTTATTTTTCATAATAGAAGTTTTTATCAGTCTAAAATGCTTAAATAGGATACAGCATATTCTAAGATAAGTTAGTATCTAAGACTATATTGGCTAATTTGAGGACCTCACCATTGAAAAAAAGATAGCACAGTTATTCTGTTAGCATTCAACAACTGTAACTATGCCGCATTCATATGTAGTGGGAGTTACTGTAATTACCAGTTTGTAGCTTAATAAATAAATACCATTCTTGTCAACATCCAAGTTGAAATTACTACTGGGATATCTGATACATACAACTTGGCCCTCAATAATGCCTGGAAAAGTAAACAAAGTCTGTTGTTTCAGGTGATTAAATTTCAATTGAATGGGTATAGCTCTATATTTTTAACTCTCAAATCACCAACTATGCAATCATAAAACTTTTTTTTTCCAGTGGCGTAAACTTTCATAAGTCATAAACATGAGGATGTTTGTCTATCAGTACCTGCCATCCCACATAATGTGAGAAAGGATTAGCCACAGAAGCACAGTTAGAGCCTCACAGGCTCCTAATAAGCTTTTTATCTGTTGATGTGAAGATACATACACAAATTTAAATTTACATACAAATTTTACCATGCAGTATAATTGTAGATGCTCATTTATTAGAATATGGACTAAATATTTCAGGAATATCCTCACCGTATTTCACTGTATAATTTTATCCATGCATAAGAGATGATAATTCAATTATAGATTACACTGTGATCTTAAGAGGGGGAACAAAACATGCATTTAATTTCTCTCTCTCTGTATATAATGTTGTGTTGCGGTAGCCTTTTTGTTACGACATTCACTTCAGACTTGTTGGAAGTGTTACAGAAATGTTTATGAGAGAAATGTGTAAAATTGTCATCAGATTTACTTACAGAGATGCACATCTTAAAGGGCTTATAAGAAAATACATTGAGCCATAGGAACTAGTATTTTTCTTATATTGTTTTTGTTTGTTCTTAGTAACTCTCCTCTCTTACCTCCCATCATCACCAGGTGTGTTTTGCGTGTGTGGATGGTGAGGAGTTTCGGCTGGCACAAATCTGTGGCCTTCACATAGTGATCCACGCTGATGAGCTGGAGGACCTGATCAGCTACTATCAGGACCGTGGGTACTTTGAGGAACTCATTGCTCTGCTGGAGGCTGCGCTGGGTCTGGAGCGGGCTCACATGGGCATGTTCACCGAGCTCGCCATCCTCTACTCAAAGTTCAAACCTCAGAAGATGAGGGAGCACCTGGAGCTCTTCTGGTCCAGAGTGAACATCCCAAAGGTAGAGTGTGTGTGTGTGTGTGTGTGTGTGTGTGTGTGTGTGTGTGTGTGTGTGTGTGTGTGTGTGTGTGTGTGTGTGTGTGTGTGTGTGTGTGTGTGTGTGTGTGTGTGTGTGTGTGTGTGTGTGTGGAGACAATTATATATTTTGTAATAAATCAAAGAGTTCATCACAAAGGAGGAGCCTGTTTGTGTGCCATGAGCTCCTTTTTGATTTATTACGATGCAAAGATTTCTGCTTCTCATCAGCACCCTGGAAGGAAAGTAATATTGCGCACAGAAGATTCCTTGAGTTGTTTTTTTCTAGCTGACATATTGCTGTTGTCTTGTGATGATTAGACGTTATTTTACCATTTTTAAACTGTTCAAATCAAAAGGTTGAATTCCTAAAAACTTTGAAATCTTTCTTTGAGAGCTTTCAAGTAATTGTTGCCCTGAAAGAAAAAAGATAGTGTTTATTTTAAATGTAGTACCTGCTTTGGTCAATATTCCTCAGATCCACACATTTTGATTAAAAACCCAAAGATATATGTTGGTCCCAGTGTAGGAGTGATAGAAAATGTGTATCTTGATCTGATGAGTTAAAAACAGAAAGTTTGGTATCCTGTTAGTCTTCATTTGTTATTTCTGTGGCTGTTTATCAGATCTTGTTAGGTGTTTTTCTGCCTCTCGAAGGCACTTTAAGATTTTGAGAAAAGGCGCTGTATAAATAAATGCCATGTTTTACCCCGAATACACCACATTGGAGTCCATGAATTTAACCAAACAAAACTTAGACAGTCATGAAGGAGTGCTTCAATTTGAAACCTGATTGATCTTGACATTGTTCTGTGTTCTCTGTGTTTGCCAGGTCCTTCGCGCTGCAGAGCAGTCCCATTTATGGGCAGAGCTGGTTTTCCTTTACGATAAATATGAGGAGTATGACAACGCTGTCCTCACAATGATGTCTCATCCGACAGATGCGTGGAAAGAAGGGCTGTTCAAAGACATTATTGCTAAGGTAAACAGAAGTGTTTCTGGCTGAACAATGTATTTACCTTCTCAAAACACGCTCACCTTTTCTGATCTGTGTATGTATGTTTTTTTTCTCCTCAGGTTGCCAACGTTGAGCTGTACTATAAATCCCTTTTCTTCTACCTGGATTACAAACCTCTCTTACTGAATGACCTGCTGACCATTCTGTCTCCACGGCTGGACCACAGCAGAGCTGTCAACTTTTTCAGCAAGGTAACCAGCGACGAGGTCAACCTCTATGAATCGAACCTTTTGTATTTTTCTTCATGTCTAGTAGACGGTTGACATGACATGGGTTGTTTTTGCTTGATCAGGTGAACCAGCTGAAGTTGGTGAAGCCTTACCTGAGATCTGTCCAGAATCACAACAACAAGTCCGTCAACGAAGCCCTCAACAACCTGCTGACAGAGGAGGAAGACTACCAGGTCTGTTACTGAGGTCGATAAGTGGACAAAATAATGTAAACACTTGATAAAAAGGGAGTAAATCTTTCCCGGTAACTCGAGTTTCATCTGTGTTCAGCATTCAGCATGTTGTAGAGGTTTTTGGGCTGTTCTCTTCCTGTTCTTTCACAGGTAGAGCACCGTTGATTTGTCTTCTATGGAGCTGCGTTAGTCATATTTGTTTTAAAAAACTTTCATCTTGTATGTGTATGTATGTATGTAGCAATGTTTGTGTTTTGAATCTGTTTCAGAGTTAAATCCTTTCTTAGTAAGTGTAGACATTATTTTGTTTATCCCCTGCATAATGACATTTGAAATAGTAATTGTAAGTAATATTAAATATACCCAGCTTCTGTGGTCACTAGGTGGCACTGCTGAGGTCCAGTTAAAAGAAACTAAGTGGTTCAGGTATCCCTAGTCTTCCTTTTGGTCTGTGATGAAATACTTTTTCACTCTGTGTGTTATCCACAGGGCCTGAGAGCATCCATCGATGCCTATGACAACTTTGATACCATTGGCCTGGCACAGAGGTTAGAGAAACATGAACTGATTGAGTTCAGACGTATTGCTGCTTACCTGTACAAGGGCAACAACCGCTGGAGACAGAGTGTAGAGCTCTGCAAGAAAGACAAACTCTACAAGGTGAGAGTTAACTTTAATCAACAGTATTTGAGAAAATTAAATGTACCTCCATCTTCCAATAGGTGGCACTGTTTGTTATATAGTATCTGAACATACTATAGATACATGGACCAACTAACAGTGTGTCAGTGTCAGAAATGATTGTTCAGACAACTTCTCAAACTTGTATCAAGGATTTCATATTTCTCATAATGAGTCAATAAACCACTCAACCACTTTCTGCCTTTCCCAGGATGCCATGCTGTATGCTGCAGAGTCTAAGGATGCAGAGCTGGCAGAGACTCTGCTCCAGTGGTTCCTGGAGGAGGGCAGGAAGGAGTGTTTTGCCGCCTGTCTGTTCGCCTCCTATGACCTGCTGCACCCCGACGTGGTGCTGGAGCTGGCCTGGAGGCACAACATCATGGACTTTGCCATGCCGTACTTCATCCAGGTCATGAGAGAGTACCTCTCAAAGGTCAGTACTCCACTGAAGAACAGTGCAAAGAGCTATTTTTGATATTTGATTTAACATAAAAGTAGGTTTAGTTATTTATATTTTTAGAGGAAACAAGTTTAAAATTTTTGCTGTGTACTAAAATTGGTTTATTTTTCTTAGATTGTTTAATTTCCTGTAGAAACTTGTCCCGATGGGTGAGAAGTGAACGACAGTCTGTAATATCTCTGGTATTGAAATACAGGTCATACGAACAACTTTTAGTTTACACAGACATGCTGAGACGAGAAGATTGAGAGGAAGGCTTTTATTAATTAATTGTGGTAAATAGGGATGCATTGATTGGGAAATTCTTGGCCAATACCAGTGTTTAAAATAACAATTTGGCTGATACCGCTGTGTTTTTGTTATTTATTAGCCCTTTTGTGCCGGGTAACAAAGTAATCTACAAAGATAAGCTTCTGATACTAATGTTCAGCCAATAAATCGGTGCATCCCTAGTCGTAAAGTATATTTGCTAGTGAACTCCGCCTGGTCATAATGATGTCCTAAAATCTTGACCTGTAGACATGTGAGGTCACTTGGGGTCATCTCTTTGGGTTCTTTTCCAGGTTGATGAGTTTGCAGCGAAGGTGACGGTCTCTGGCCCTCTTTTTATTTCTCTTATGTGTTCTGTCTGTTTTTGTTGTAACTTATCTCTTAGGTTTCTGATGTAGGAACCTAGCATGGACTGTAGACTGAGTACGGCCTAACTAGCTCTGGTCCTGGAGAGCTGTAGTAGTATGTGCAGGCTTTTGTTCCTCTTCAGCACCAACACAACATGTTTTTAATAAATTCTGAGATTATCTACTGGAAGCAGTTTCTAAATTATCCTCCTGGGGAACATTACTGTCTCTTTGGTATGGGTTGTTGAATTTTCATTTTCAAATAAAGGCTTTCAGCTGTGAAGCAGAAACAAATTCATCAAAATATGAATATATAAGCACTGCTCTTTTTTGTTGACTGTCAGTGCAAACAAAAAAAGCTACACACTAAATGCAGAAATAACTTATTGTAATGTGAGACTTTGGACAAAAAATGTTGTGTTCTGATTAGATATATAAAATTATTCAACCCTTTTGCAAAAGTTCATGACTTTAAAGGTTTAAGAACCACTTTAAAAAGGAATATATCTGCTACCTGTTAACAATGAAAGTATAATTAGCTTCTGCTTTTATGTAAATATGCAACAGTTCAGGATGCTGCTGATGTGAACATTTGCACCAATTTGTTAGGTTACAATGTATGTTCTGCAGACCTCGAACTTGCCAGCATGTTAATGATCTCTGGTTCAACAGACTTCACTAAATCTAGGAGGTATAATGTGGTCTAAAGAAATAGTCTTGGACCAGTCGAGAGCCCCTACAGTAACTTTAAACACTGTGTTGACGGCTGGAGCCAAAGCCTGTGCACCATCTTGCTCTTCGGGACCAGGATTAGCCTGTCCTGGCCTAACAGTTAGCTCTCACCCTCTAACTTTCTCTCTCTTGGGGCTGCATCTAGCGTTAAGTGGCATTTTTAACTTATTTAAAAAAAAAATCATGACAATGACAATTGCAGTTGTGCAGAAGCAAAATCACAAGACTGATGTTATGGTTAAATATAGTAGGATACAAGAAACATGGTGATCTTTCCACCTGGCTAATGCTCTCCAAAGTCCAGTAATGAATGCGGGTGAGAGCGAGCCACTCCAGACTTGATAGATGCATCCCCATGTTTCTAACTCCAGGTTAACATGTTTTAGTTTCGAACATTTGTCAGATGAGCGTAGGGCTACAAGGTTATCACAACCCTTTTTTCTGCCTCCGGGGAAAGTTTATTTCAGCCAATCAGACATCAGACAATTTAGAGGTTGAATCTAGTAGCCGGTCAGTGCAAGTAGCTGAACACATACCAAGAGACAGCACAGATGTTTTTAGACGTTGTGGGCTCTATCTTACTGTAGGTGATCAACAGGCAGCAAGTTATGTATTGTTTTATCTCCTAAAATGACATCCATTTTAATTAGATGCATACAGTATTTCAAATATTCATTTCAGAAATAATTCCTCATTCACAATCTATATAATATTTTATAGTCATAAACATAAAAGTGCTTGGTTAACCTCTTCACTCTTTTGTACAAACGTTTCTCTTCGTTTCTTGAAATTATGACTCAACTGATTTTTTTCAATTCTACATTAATTGAGCTGAAAACGTTGTTTGAACTGATCTCCACTTACATCAGAAACCTTTTTGTATTCAGCTGCCTCAACAGTTAAAGCACAATGCCTGATTATTTCTTTGCACTTAGCAACTAGGAAAACTGGCACTATGACCAACTCACTGCGCAAAAACTGTATGCCTGGCAAAGATGAGCTTATCCTGTGAGCTTCTAATATGTAGCTTGATTTCAGTCCAGAAAAAACACGCAATGAAAATCTGTGAGGAGGGTCTGCTTACAGCCATGAATGGGATGCATGTGGAAGCTGTGATGGTCATTTATTTAACTGTGAATGGCTGGAAATGTAGCATCAGCATATAGGCATGTATTATAGCTTCTCCTTTACTTAATACACAATGTAATATTTCTTTAACCTTGAATCCCACTATAATTTTTCTTTGTTAAAGGGTTAGTTCACACAAATCACAAACAACAGAACATTTCTCCCCAGCAGTATGTAGCCATGATGTAGTTTTGGCTGTCCCTTCCCATCGATGTCAATCTACTTTTGTTTCTGGTGCTCAAAACAATAAAATCACATTTTAGAAACTCTAGGTCTGTGAGTTATTTGACAATGAACAAAGACATTGTATCTGGAAAGATGCATTTTTTAAAAATGTAATTTTCTTCAGTGCTTTGAGCAGCATAAATAAAACTGAATTCTGTTGAGTTGGGGTTTACCACTGGGGTGTGTCTTTTGTTTTTTGTGATTTGGGTGAACAGATCCTTTAATTGTTGACTTAACATTTGTACTGGAAGCTGTTTTAGAAATTCTCACCAAACCTGCATGGCATCTTCTCTTAGGTAACCATAGCTGCACTGTGAAGTACTGTGTGTAGTTTTGTCTTTCAGAAGTGGGTATGATAGATCTACTGTGTCATATTAATCAGTATTTATTTGTTTCATATGAAATAAAAACTGAAGTGTAGTCTTACAGCTGAAGCCTTATAGTTTATGGTCTCTTGTAGTACATCAAATAAGCAATTGTCATTTAAATAAAACTGGTACATCTCTGTGATCACTACATTGTAGGTGTCCAGCAAAAATCTTTTACTTAGAACATTTTCTTTTTCACTGACAGCTGACATTGTTTACTATCAATGTGATCAGGACACATGTTGAAATATGCATTTAAAATCTTTGCTTTAATTTAAGTTTAAACAGCCTGAAAAGCTGGAGTTTCCGTAGTTACCTTTGGCAGGATACCTACAATGTATGAAATCAGACTTTCTTATATTTTGTAGAGTGTGCGAGTGATCCACGTCTGATCTGTCCTCCTTTCTTTGTTGCCCTCAGGTGGACAAACTGGAGGAGGCAGAAAGCCAAAGGAAAACTGAAGACGAGGTGACAGAGCCTCAGCCGATGGTGTTTGGTAGGTTCACAGGCAGCACGTCACCATGAGCGACAGATGATTGTGGTTCCTAAATTGTGAAAACAGCAAGATGTGATCTATGTGTCTGCGTCTCTTAACATTCAACATCAACTAAATGTATACTGATTGGATGAAGGTAATGGTAAAGCAGTTTACTGAAAGTTGAAGCACACAAGTAAATCTTTCTCCATGTTGTGGTCAAACTTGTTGTTTTGAAGTTTTGGGCAACAGTTATAGAACTGTTATTGTCTTTTCCAGATGAAAACTGACAGAGAACAGATTTGTCACTGACATTTACAATCTTGTGTCAGGTGTTATTTTTCTCAGATGCCGTCTTTGCCTTGATTTTACACCCAGGAATAAAATAACATAATTTTACATTTTACAATATTACAAAGAATGAATGATGCCTTCCTGGCTGGTTTGCCCACAATTAACGGAGACAGCTGTTTCTGATGTTATAATCTGAAACCAGCAGCAACTGTGTTATTTAAAGGTTCAGTGTGTAACACTTAGGAGGATTTATTGTCACAAACGGAATATAATATTGATAGCTATGTTGTAATTAGTGTATTATCAGCTGAATATAGGTTTGTTGTGTTTTGTTGCCTTAGAATTGGTCATTTTTTTTATCTACTAACCAAACACTGGCTGTAGATAAGGGCTGTTTTTTGTGGGTTTTGTGAAGGCGAGTGGTATTTAGTTGGTTGCAATATAATATTTCACCACTAGATGCCACTAAGTCTTACACACTGATCCTTTAACTATCGTAGTACTATCGAGTATCAATGACAAAGATATTTGATTCAGTTTTGAATGTAACATGTAACCCTGTGTGTGTATGTGTGTGTTTGTATTATCAGGCCAGCAGCTGATGTTGACTTCCTCGCCTGCTCCAGTTGCTCCTCAGCCAGCGTACCCGGGCTATGGCTACCCCCCTGCTGCCGCCGCAGGCTACCCTGCTCAGCCCACCGCCGCAGGCTACCCTGCGCAGCCCGCCGCCGCGGTCTACCCTGCTCAGCCCGCTGCCGCAGTCTACCCTACTCAGCCTGCCGCTGCTGCGGGCTACCCTGCTCAGCCCGCCGCGTATGGCTTCAGCATGTAGAGGCCTGGCCCGCCTCCCTCTACCCTCTCTCCCCCACATACACTCACACCTGAACCACACTGAACCGTGATGCTCTGGGTCTCAACTGGCGGCACGGAGACCCCCTGAAACTCACCAGGACCTTCATTCCCAATTAGACTCCACCCAAGTTCACTGAAACTGCAATAGAAACATCTCTACTTTCTCCAAACACATGCACACTCACACACACACTTCAGGACAGCATCAAGGCTGTTTGACCCCTCCCCCTCGCCACCTCTCCCCCCTCTTGTTTCCACTTGGAAGTTATAACTGCGTCACTGATCTACACAGCATGAAGTCACCTCTCAGCTCCTAGAGGAATTAACATACCGAAGATAACATTAGTGACACCAAACCACTCTGTCCTGTTGCTGTTCCATGTAGACTTTATTAACCATAGAGCAGCTTTTTTCTTTTTTTTTTCAAGAGATTCAGCACTGATGAGGAAGAGACTTTGTTACTGAGGAGTAGAGGGGCATGTGTGCGTCCCCCCCTCCCTCCTAAAGCACTGCTACGGCCTTATACACTTTGAGGAGGTGGCAAAAAAACGGGCTCATTTGTTAACGTTTAATTTCACGACTGTCTCATGCTCTGATTAGAAAGACAGTTACTGTGCAATAGTTTTGTTTGTCCTTTCACAACAGGTACAAAGTGTTTGCTGTATACGGACTAAGAACACTTGTTTATGAGGTTACGGTACTGTCTGTATATGTGTGATATGTGTGTGTGCGTGTGTGGTTGAGTGTGTGTGTGTGTGTGTGTGTGTGTGTGTGTGCGTGCGTGTGTGTGTGTGTGTGCGTGTGTGTAGCCTCTAAAGCCTTTGAGGAATACGTCACCAAACCAAGAGACACACTATGTAATGTCCACTCCCTTGCAGCCACAACCTTGTTGCTGGGTCAGAGCGGTTTGACCTCCTTGTCAGTCGACTTTACGGACTCTGATACCGGACTTTCAGGAGTTTCAGGATGATTGTGACAAAAAGGCGAAAGAAAGAAAGACAGAAAGTAAAAAAGAAAGAAGGTGAAATAAAAAAAAAATGCTATATGCTGTAGTCTGTGCATGTGCTGCCAAACTATAAAGCTGCAACCAGGAGCACAATTTTCATGTTACACTCAAGTATATCAAGTATTACTAATGTTGTGTCAAAAACAAGTGATGTTCAATGAAACTCTCTCACCCAACTAACAGAAAACGACGATGAAGCGCCAACAGACTTGAGATGAAAACACATGGGGAACATTAGCTCACATCCTGGTGCCAGTTGGTTCAAAAAAAAAAAAAAAAATTATTGTACTGAAAACAGTGTATAATTTAAGATATATTGAAATACCTAACTAATCAAAGAAGTCAAATATTATGAAATACCGTATGTATTGTCTATAGTGTGTTGTTGTAGTCTTAAAAGCATAATGATTTTTGTAAGAAAAGGACAAAATGCAAAAACAGCAGGTTAATAAATGGCAAAGTCTTGAGGCAAAGCTGCTCAAAGTGACAGTGTAGTGGATTGGTGGTTTACTTCCTGTGCTGTCCGACAGTCCCTGTTTGATACACAGAGCTCTGTCCCACTGTGGTGTCAACTTTTTTGAAGAGGAGAGCAAAACAAAAGCCTGAGCTGCACACGAAGCACTCCGTTTATCTGCACAAGTCATGCATACAGAAAGAGGAATAAAGTTTACACACAGTGTTGTTTGTGCATTTGTTTTTACCATCAAGAGAAAGATTTACAAGCTCTTTTTGTTGATGGTGGAGAGTTTTATGGCTGTGAACATGGTTTATGTTACTGCACCCTTATTTAGGCCTACATCACTTGCTTGACCCAGACTGACATTTTGGTAACCAAGCACCCAAGACCTGATGGATGGTTTCTGTGAGAGCTGCAGCCTCTTTGTTTGGAGAGGGTGTGGTTAGGGGTTGTTAGGGCCGATAACTGCCTGCTGCTGGGGAAGTGCGTACGGTTTTGGTCGTAAAAGATTAAATAATAGGGGAATCCTATTTTTATTCTTCCCGGCGGATCCTGGATTCATATGGTAATGGAGACAGAGAGGCTGCGCCCCGCCCTTCTTCTGTGGAACAAGAGATCTGTTGTCACCCTGCGGTCATACAAGCACCGAGAGTGTCACCCACTGGACTCCGTCAAACAACCGTCTCGGTGGTGGATCGGGAGAAATTTCCAAGTTCAGCGCAGCAGCAGGATACGGACGCAACTCTCTGTCTGTCCGCCCCTCCCAGCTTCCGGGTTGTTGTTTTTTTTTTTGCTCCTCTTACGTGCTGCTGTCGCGATACGGCGTTACCATGGCTACAAATAACAGATATGGGATATAAAACATCCCAACTTCCTTGACAGTCCCAGGATCCGCCCACTGTCAATAGAGAGGACCCGCTGGAGTCTCCGGACGCATCTGAGATCACCTGCATCCAGGAAGGCGCACCAGACAGCGACCGTCCATGTGTTGCGCGCTCCAGGATACTTGACAAGAAGATTTGCAAGCTACCTACTTGAAGATAAACCTCATTAGACTTTAAGCTTTTTTTTGTTGTTGTTGTTGTTTATAGATTTACAGTGTATTTTCCAGTAGCTATGCAGGATAAAGGCACATTTATCAGCCCTTTTCCCAGACCGCGCTGTCTGGCGGCGGCGGCGCCCGCGGGCAAACCGAGATTAACTCACCCGGGAAAGGCGATTCTGGCAGGTAAGTTCATCATACAGAAAAGTAAACAGTCAGACAAAATGTCACTGGTTGCGGGAGTTTCGTTGAAGTCACGGCGGAATAAAACAGCATTTCATACATTTCAGATACATTGTGGAGCCTAATCTTCTTGTTTGTGGTGCGCAGCGGAGCGAAATACGTGTAAAAAGAAAAAAAACCTGGAAAGACTAAAAGTAAATAGCAGAGAGACCACTGCAAACAGGATTACACACTATAACAAACAGGGCGTTTTTCTGTTAAATGACACGTTTCACTTCATAGAGCTGAAGGCTTGAAGTTATTGGAGCTGCACAGAGAAAAGTGTGTGAGAGAGCTGCAGTAAAACGAGTTATTTTGCAACTGGTGTTACTACATTTTCCACCAACTGCTGCATCTTGCCCTCAAGCCACCCTGACCCTGTGACCCTTGAAGCTGTTGTAAAAAGAAAAATGGCCTTGGGAGAAATTTTCTTCCTCTCTCCCCCTGTCCTGTCATGGTCAGATCTTAGCTGTAATGCTGATGTAATTTTATCTAATCTAAACATCACCTCTAGTGCAGCTCACATAATGCTATTAGAGCGGATTGGCGCATGCAGCAGTGTGACTCAGGTGTGCTCTTGTGGTCAGAGAGGAGAAGAATTAATTTTCAGTGTTGAGCTTTTGGAAGATCATGTCAGGTGACCCTCAGCAGATGATTTTTGCTCAGTTGTCATGGAATTGTAGATATCTGAATTTCCATTTTTTTTCTGAGCACTTGAAGGACTTCTCGTCCAAAAGTGGGCAAAATCCATCTGCTGATGAAGGTCATGATATGTTAGGATAGTTTCTGAATCGCTTATAGAGTTTGTGGTGAAGTTGTTTTCCTAAACTTAAATGTTGTTCTGTCAGTTTGTGGTTCTTCTCTCTTCTACTGTAACCACCACAATGCTTTATTCTCCTACTGTAACTGTAAACGTTGATCAATGTTAATTACATTTAGAAAAATGGGTTAGAAATATTGATATATTCTCACCATATATCAATAAATAACCAGAGCCAATATATTGTCTTAGTGTGATCAGCAACCACCGAACCTACAAAATGATTTATTATGTCAGTCTGAAACAGGGAGGGAAAAATATTTGCCCTGAAGCTGTAACCATTTTGCTTGACAAATGAATAAAATGGTTAATCAATCGTCAACATTTTAACAAATTAATTGATTGATGCTTCTGCACTACTTCAGTCATGCTTGTTTTAGCCATCTCTTTGATTCATCAGTTTTTCCCCGCTGAGGTTCAGAAACTGTCCTCCTCCCCTGCTGCTCTGCCCCCCCCATCCCCCTCGACCTCTGTGTTGATGATCAGGGTGCAGCAGCTCCAGCTGATGAAGAGCCTCTCAGAGATGCTCCTGTATTAAAGCTACGTGCTGATATTTGGCAGCACTCTGCTGATTTCAGCCTTGTTCTCTGGCGACTGTTTCATGCTGAATATTTTATCGTTTGGAATGTATTCCTTTTGATTGAGGATTTAAAAACAAACTAATTATTATTTCAGTTATTTTACTGATTATTTAAGAATAATATTTATGATGCGACGTCTTCTAATTGCTTGTTTTTACCTGACCAATACTTCAAACCCCCAAAGTTCATTATCAAATATATGAAAAACATAAAATACTCACATATGAGAAGCTGTAACCAGCAAATATGGGATATTTTTGCTGGAAAAATTACTAATTATTTCAGCTCCAAACTGCATACATGCTTGTGGACTCATCTGAGTATTTACACTGTTTACATATTTTGAAGCTGGTATGGTAATTAATAGAAGGTTTATATACATCAACACTGCCCCTTTCAGTACAGATTTAGATTCACATTAGACCATGGCGTGGAGCACAGGCAACATATATCATCCAGGAATGAGATAAAAAACACATTTACATAATAACATTAATTTAAACATTGCTCGGTGGTTTAAAGAGCACTTTTCTATCATTCTGTATTCTTTAATTCAAACAAAATGTGATGTCTCCTGGACAGTTGACATTACAGAGTTTACAGATGCTCTATAAGCCTGTTTATCTACCTGTGTTTGGGGATTTTGGTGTTTCTAACCCTGAAGTCACAAATAACCTGTATGTAAGTCATATTTTCATATGATACATATTTTTCCAGTTTAAATTCTAACATAAGGATCACACTGACATCGCTTTGTTATTCACTTCTGTATGAAGAGACTATTCACCACAAAAGAGTGCATCTATTTCAAAAACAACTGTAGAGTTAATGATTTTGTGGCAGGAGGAGTGAGAAGAGGAGAAAAGATATCCTCTCTTGACACACGTTGCCCTGTCAGCCACTGAGAAATGGAACTGGTGAGACCTCCCCCTCCCCCCATCAGTCCCGTGCAGCCTGATTGACTGGATATGGCCCAGTGTTGCTCCCTCTTCCTCTCGCTGTGTCGTTCAGTTCGTCTCAAGCCTGTCTGTCCAGTTTTGCAACAGCAGCATGATTGCATTCTCTCTGTCCTAACTCTGTGCAGCTTCTGACTCCTCCTGGCCTCACTGTCAAAAAAACCCCATTGATTTGTCGCTGTCAAAGGTTTTGGAAAGGAAAGTGTGCATCAGTGTGTGTAGTGTGATGACAGTACACATTCAGAGCAACACTGGGATGACTCAGCGAGTCATTTGAGTCTGACCTGAGATATTATCCATCAAAACCACAGCTGATAGTTTACATTGTCAGGATGAAAATCCTTCTCACTCAGCTACGGCAATTCATGAATCCAGCTGATACCTCTCCCAGTGTGACATGCTAATGCTACTTTAGATTTATCTGTTATGGTTAGCAGTACGTGTACGTGGAGAGAGCGAGTCGCACATGCCCCGAAGGTTGAAAGTAGACAAAGCAAGAAGTAGAAGGTCAAAGCTTAATGGATTAGAGAGCCCAGTGGTTGAGGAGGAGGTCCAAAGCTTTTAGAGGTCTGTGAGCTCTTTCTGCTCCCATTGGCTAGTTCAAGTCTTCTCTCCACAGCCACTGGTGGTGACTGAAGTGGAGACACGGAAGGAGGGAGCGTTTTTCTGTGTGAGGCCTGAGGGAGAGACTGGTCTAAATGGGTCTCTGGTCCTGAAATGCTGGCTGTTGTGCATTCATACATCGTTGTGGTTTTCATTTATAACCCGTCTGAGCAGAGTCTGAGAAGCAGGCGGGATGGACAGAGAGAGAAAGTTCCTTTTTTAAATCTTGATTTTATGATAGATTGGAATTTCCACTGAGACAGAGACTGTTTTTATGTCACTTTTCCTGCTCTTTTCCTCTCCTCCGTCTCCTCTCGCTCTCTCTCTCTCTCTCTCTTTCTCCAGCCTCAGGGCAGCCAGTTAGGTTTTCTGAGTGGCTGTCTCCTCTCAGGCTCAGAGGGCTCGTCAAACTGTACGCTTACTCCCTGTTTCCTCGCATCACAGGTGACGCACACAGTCACCTCCCTCCCCACTGCTCGCAGACCCCGAGTACTGGGGGGCGAGATCATAAATCACAGTGCTCTCCTCTGTCCACCTCCTAGCCACCCCCTCTGTAATAGCTTGTCAGCTAGATGTTGGTATAGTGCAGCCACGGACACGCAAACAGAAATTAGTGCAGTTATTTAAATACATTATTAATTCTCATTAATTAGAAATCATATATGCTATTTCCTTTCTTAAACCTTACGTTTGAGATTGATTTCCTGCCTTCCAGTCAGCCACTGGTTGTAATTAATTACAATATTGTGGAGACCTTGCAGAGTGAACATGTAGTTGCTATAATTTATTGTCATAGTTATATAATAACAGCAGGGTAATTCATTTTCAAGTAATTACCTTGTTGGGCTCAACAACATTATATCTTAGACTTGAAAGATGGTTGGTCTCAATCAGCTTCTTAATATGAAATACCACCAGCTGCTAGCTTGCTTTTGTCTGTCTGTCTGCCGTTTGGTGCCGGGATGGTTATTAGAGCTTTTTCACAGCTGCCTTCTG